ATGTGTTTTGAGTCTGGTTAGTTTTTTTTTTTTTTTTTTTTTTAAATGCTCGAAAAAGAAAAATAAAAATATGGGGATGTAAAGCGCAAAAAAATCTACACCCCCATTTTTTTATTTTATTTTTTTGCCTGCGAAAAAACGGGCCACGTTGTACCGAGTTGTACCACGTTCTAACGAGGTATAGCGAGGCGTTGTAACGGGGGTTCAACGACCGTTGAACCTTTCAACGGGAAACCCCCGCTGAATCGAAAATCAGACACATAGCTCTTAACGGCCGTTCATGGGGTTTCCGCCCACGTGGAGGCCGGGACGGTCGGGATCGGGGTGGGAGGGGGGTGGTGCGGGGGCTTTCTACACCCCCGTGCCTTCAAATTAAAAAAAAACAAAAATTAAAGAGCGGGGTGTATGTGAGGACGGTCGGGATTGGCGAAGGGCCCTGACAGAGAAGCGAAGCGGGAAAAAATATCTCTCTCTCTCTCTCTCTCTCTCTCTCTCTCTCTCTCTCTGTGAGACGGACCCATGTTGTGGTTGGTGCCTATGTATCACCTGCGGCCACGGTCGTGGGGTCAAACTCGGTGGGCGGACGGTGTCGCAGTTTTTCCAGTCGGACCGCTTCAGGCGACCGGAAAGCCAACAGGCCGTCACGCTGGATTTTGTGTGCAGTCGCAATAAATAAAATAAATTAAATAATGCAAATCTATTCCTGTTGTGTGCGTCCGGCTTCGAGCGAGACCCTTCAATTGCGGTCTTCGCCGGTCCCCGGTCTTAGGAATCTTTTATTTTTATTCGGAACAACAGAGAATTATGCAAATAAATAATCATAAAAAAGATTATGGGGTGCTATGCTCGCATCAATTACGTCAATTTGATTTTGAGAACTGTGACAGAATTATCCTCAAAATCAATCACCCAACAAAAACAATGCAAGAGACGAGACGGACTGACTCGAGCAAAGACAAGCTCAAATGAATGAGGGAAGAATGAGAACTCATTATAGTCTCAGGGAGTACAATATGAAAGAGAGCATGGCCAACACCAATCAAGAGTCCTCACTTAACCCTCAGAACTTCACTCTTCATATGTCACTTTGCTGCCTGTCGTCTGGGCTTCTTGTCATGTCTCCGTACTCTCTGAGGTTGTGGCTTCTGAATATAAAGCCACCTGAAGCCCACTAGTTCCAGATACTTCCAGCCAAGTCCCATGATACGAAAGTCAAGCATGGCACAAAATTCCTCCCATAGAGTGGGGAGATATGATTGAGAGAAAACGCCCCTCCAGAGATGCGGAAACTCAGAGGGCTCGGTCACTACCTCATAGTCGATCACTGCTTGCGATATGTATCTCTTGGCCAGGTCCACCAGACCGCCCCAATAAGAGCCATCAGTAAGGTAGTAGGGGATCGGAGGTTTGGGATAGTCAGTGAAAAGCTTAGGACCAAAGCTATAGACCAGCTTTGTGTTCCCGTGGAGTCTCTCAGCTTTCCACTGCACATACCCGGCTGCTGGTGCCCATACCGCATCAAAGTGAGAGTGAGTCTGTATCCCCCTTTTCAGAAAGATCCGCAGGTCATTGACTGTACCTTCTGCGAACTCGGTGAGAACAATGAAGATCGACAGGTCTTCACATCTGAACCCATCAATTCTAACATACCGGTAGGGGAAACTCTCCTTGACAGAGATCAGATTAAGACTGTCAAGGACTGATTGATCAACCATGATGGGGTTGATCTCTCTCATGTGTTCTGACAGGTTTCCTGAAATGAAGAAAAAAAAAAAAAAAGGAGTGACTGTGCTTGAATGACAAGCCCCCGCTGCTTGAGTTTCTTTTGGACACTACCTTGAATGCTGCTTCAGATTACCGTCTCTGATTGCTGTCTTCTGAAAGCTGTTCTTTACTGCTGTTTTCTGAAATAGTTGTTGCTGAGGTTGCCGACCAGATGCTGAATTGACGTTGATTGGTTGCTGGCTGGTTCCTGATTAAAGACTGAATGATTGCTGGCTGAAAAACAGCGACAAACAGATTAGGGAACCGTTACTGCTGACCAGCGAATTGTTCATCTACTGATTATAAAATCTGAATAACTGCTGGAAAGTTGAGTGTTGAGATAGCGGCTGACTGGCTGTCGTCTTTTGATGCACCGTGTCTGAAAGAAACTGTTCTCTAAACTAAATTCTTTACTCTGGCGTCTTTGTCTGGTGCCAACTCTTTCTCTTAAAATTGATGATTAAACTCCTTTACTGATAACCATGGATAACTTTCCTTGCTTCTTCAACAAAGTCTACAATCGACAAGGTACTGTGCAATTCTATGTCTGTCCCATAGATGTAGAGAATGTACTCAACAGTTTTGTGATCCCTCACTAATTTTAAGGCTTCATTCATCATTGCCCTCTTACAGCAGTGGAAATCATTAATGACCGCTCTTTCCCAACCTTCAGTTTTATTCTGATGCAACGTGCAAGTCACTCTCAACCTTCCCTCACTCCCCATTTTTTGTTGAATCTTATTACTTGGACTCCTAGGCGTAGGGTCGTGACGTTTTGCTGAAGACCAAACCTCGAAAGATCATTACCTTGTCCTTCGCTATCGGGCACGCAGCTGACAACATTGAATTGGCAAAGTTCAAGTAACCCACCGGACAAATGAGAGTTGGCCGAATCCAAGGAATCTGAGCTGAACTTATCGGATTTGTACTGAATTCACTCTATTCGCCCTGAACTTGCTAGGTCTGTATAGAGTTCACTGGATGCCAGCCATTCTGTTAAATACCGTTTGAACCGGCAGGATCACCAGGGTATTAGGTCTACTGATAAGTCCCTCGTTGGGTCCGCTGTTGTCTGTAGACCTGCAGGCCTCATCAAACCCATGGGTCTCTCTCCCCTTCTACAGGTTTTCCCGGCACGCGGATCTTCACTGAGCCTGCCAGGCCCAAGTTTGTTACGTCTGCACCCAAGCATGCTGAGCCTGAAAGTTGAACGTGGATGACTTTTCGAGAATATCGATCGGTTTTCGAGGAATCCTGAGTTCGTCAGCTCAATTTGCTAGCCAGCCAGATTTTAGTTTGAGTCTGCGAAGGATTGCCTAAATCTGTTACTGACAGGGTTCTCACGTGTCTGGTCTGAGTCATCTGAGTCTGTCTTGAGTCATCTGAGTCTGTTTTGAGTCATTTTTGGGTTGTCCGAATCTTGTTTCTTTTTTCTAGGAAAAATGACCGATCACAAACGCCGCATATGACTATCTCTGCGCACTCTGCACAAACGAACCAATTTTCCTTAATCTCTACTCATAGGAGGC